CAACAGACACCCTGTGAGGTAGGTGGGGCTGAGCTCTGAGAGAACTGTGACTGACCAAAGGTGGAGGAGTGGGTTCTCCAGATAAGAGTCCGCCACTCTTAACCACTACACCAAACTGGCCTTCTAGCTTGGCATTAATGTAAAAAAATAAGCCAAAAAACCCACACAACACCTTCTGATGAAGAAGGCAGGGAAACACTATGCTGTGGGCAGATGTTATCTGCTGTGCTCTCCCTTCAGACTGCAAGCTATGCAGCATGCATCACTAGGTATTGTGGGAGTGCATGTCATCTCTGATTGAGCATCTTCCTTCAGAGCATACGAGAGACAACCCTCATAGTCCAAGCAGAGGCTTTCAAATTAACCAAGCAGGAGATAAAATACATCTCATACTGCAGAAAGTAATTCTAAAATATTAGCAAGAGCAGGTGGCATTTAGACAGCATGCTTGGCTGAGATCAGCAGCTCTGACCAATGAGGCCAAAGTGCTTATGCAAGACTTCCCGTCTGAAGGGGCAGGGAGAATGTATATCAACTGTGGCAACAGAAAGATCTTCAAGTAGGAGATCATATAGTTCATCTACAAAGAGGACCTATTCAAAGGCTCAAGGCTCACAGCATAGGAAGATCACGCTATTATCTAAACAGGGTCTTTGACTCCAGTATGGAAGAGAGATCTCAGTCCCCAAACCTCAGAAAACATAACCAGAAGTCCTGGGCCTTTTCCCCCTCTGGGAAAAGGTTAAGAATACAAGAAAAGCCCTGCTGGGTCAGATCAGGGGTCCACCTACTCCAGCATTCTTGTCTCACACAGTGGCCAACCAGTTCCTCTGGAGAGCCAAGGAAAGGGCATAGAAACCAAGGCTTTCGTCCAATGTTGCCTCCTGGCACTGAGAGACTGAGTGCCTCTGAACATGGAAATTCCGTTCAGTCACCATGGCTAGTAGTCACTGATAGTCCATGAATCTGTCCCCTTTTAAAGCTGCTTATTACTGTGGCCATCACCACATCCTCGGGCAGCCACACCTACATCTATACAGGTGGATTGTAATATTGGCTGTTTTATTTTCAATCCCTTTCCTAATCCCAACACCGTTTGCCTTTTTGACTGCTGCAGCACAATGGGTCTACACCAGTCGTGGCGAACCTATGGCACGGGTGCCAGAGGTGGCACTCAGAGCCCTCTGTGGGCACGCGTGCCATTGCCCCAGCCAGGCCCAGACCATCATTAACGTGTCGAATTCTCTGCCAAATAATTTTAAGTAAATGAAAGCATTTGGGATTGGGATTGCTTTCCTTGCTTTGTTTGGATCATCTTAAATTAATGTACGAGTTGTTTTTTTAAGTAAAACCTCAGTATTCAGGTTAAATTGCCGTGTTGGCACTTTGCAATAAATAAGTGGGTTTTGGGTTGCAGTTTGGGCACTCGGTCTCTAAAAGGTTCGCCATCACTGGTCTACACTATCATTGAACCAACCACTACGACCCCAAGATCTTTTTCCCTTCTCAGTAAGTTCAGACCCTATTAGCCTACATTGGAAGTTGAGATTTTTTTTTTGTTCCAATGTGGTGGTGGTGGAGATTGGATTTATACCCCACCCTTCACTGAGTGGCTTACAATCTCCTTTCGCTCCCCCCCCCCAACAGACACCCTTGTAAGGTAGGTGGGGCTGAGAGAGCTCTTTCGAGAACTGCACTTTCAAGGACAGCTCTGACAGAACTATGGCTTGCCCAGGGTCATCCAGCAGCTGCAAGTGGAGGAGTGGGGAATCAAACCCGGTTCTCGCAGATTAGAGTCCACGCACTTAACCACTACACCAAACCGGCTCTAATTACCTTACAGTTACCCACACTGAACTTCATTTTCCACACTGTCACCCACTCATCCAGTTCATGGAGAACCTCCTGTAGCTTTTTACAGTCAGACTGTTTTCACCACCATCCTGAATAATTTTGTCATCTGCAACTTGGTTACTGCACTATTCACCCTGTTCCAGATTTATGAACAAATTAAAACCTACCAGCCCCACTGCTTACTTGCTCTCCATTGTGAGAACTCCCCATTTATTCATGCTCTTTGCTTCCTATCATTTAATCAATTTTTAATCCATAAGAAGGAGAAGAGAAGAGATTGGATTTATACCCCACCCTTCACTACCCAAAGGAGTCTCAGAGTGGTTTACAAACTCCTTTCCCTTCCTCTTCCCACAACAGACACCCTGTGAGGTAGGTGGGGCTGAGAAAGCTCAGACAAACTGCTCTTTTTTCAAGAACAGCTGTGCCAGAACTATGGCTTGTCCAAGGTCATCCAGTAGGTGCAAGTGGAGGAGTGGGGAATCAAGCCCGGTTCTCCTAGATTAGAGTCTGCACACTTAACCACTACACCTGTTCTTTCACACCATAGTTCCTGAGTTTACTCTGGAGTCCTTGGTGAGGTAGTCTGTCAAAAGCCTTTTGAAAGTCGAAATATATAAAGCCTACCACCAGGTCACCATTATCTACAGGCTTGCTCACTTTCTCAAAGAACTCCAAAAGGTTGGTGAGGCAGGACTTCCCTTTGCAGAAAGCCATGCTGATTTCCCCTCCAGCTTTGTTCCTCTGGTTGCCTAATATACCTCCATCTTTGATTAGAGTTTATGCTAATTTGCCTTAGATACTTGGCTGACTGGCTTGTAATTCTCTGGTTCCCCTCTGGACCAGTTTTTAAAAATTGGTGTAACATTTGCTACTCTCCAGTCTTCTGGTACAGTGGCTGGATTTAGTGATAGGCTACATAGACAAGTTAGTAGATCAACAATCTCACATTTGAGTTCTCTAAGGAATCTCAAGTGTACACCATCAGAACCCGGAGACTTATTTCCGAGCAGGTCTAGAACTTCCTTCTCTCATCACCTCAATTTGTCTGTGAGTCCCTTCTTGAAAACAGTGGCTGTGGTACAGGTACACACCCCACACTTCCACCTTCCATAGTGAATACAGAAACAAAAAATGCATTGAGCTTCTCTGTTCTGCTGTCTCCCCATCCTCCTTTAGCAATCCCTTGACTCATTGATCAGTCAAAGGCCCAACTGCTTCTCTGGCTGGTTTCCCACTCCAGATACATTTAAAGAAATCTTGTTTGTTTTGATGCTTTTAGCAATCCACTCCTCAAATTCTTTTTGCATGCCTAATTATTGACACATTTTTTATTTGCATTGTTTGGTGTGGTGGTTATGACTGTGGATTCTAATCTGGGACAACTAGGTTTGATTCCCCACTTCTCCACATGCAACTGCTGGTGTGACCTTGGGTCAGTCACAAGTTCTTTCAGAGCTGCTCTCTCAGAAGCAGTTCTCAAAAGAGCTCTCTCAGCCCCACCTACCTCACAAGGTGTCTGTTGTGGGGAAGGGAAGGGAAAGGAGATTGTAAACCGCTCTGAGACTCCTTTGGGTAGTGAAAGGCGGGGTATAAATCCAATCTCTTTTTCTTAACCATGCAAGCATTTTAAAAGTTGGCAGTGCCTTTAAATAGCTTCCATGGATGCCAGGTCAAAACAGGGATTCCTGAACACTCTCTCACAGAGTTACTGGCTATTCTACTCTTACTGGTATATTTGTTCGATCTGATTTTCCTGCCAGTAATTGTTTGGTCATTTATGTACCTCTAGCTTTAATTCGTCTAAGAGGCTCAGAAATGGACCTCAGAGGCTGGTTATGTTTTCATAAACCCGTGCTGTGCAAACACAAGAGTGCCTTAACAACACTGGGGCACTTTCACCCAATTCACTTGCAAAGTGCTCGGCAGGCTACAAAGCAATGCTGCTGGAATTCAGAACCAAAAGGGAGACTTGCTTGAAAATTCAACGCAAAAGCAAAATAACCAGTACACAGATTTAGTACACAGATACCGGGCAGAACAATTAAGCATCGTTTCAAAGTTGTTTCAAGAACTGGTGTACCTTATTCAGGAATGTAAACTGGACAGTCTGAGGTTCAAATGTCCCCTTAGCCAGATTTTGTTTTAGGAAAAACCCTATATTCTCATTCTTGTTTGGATAATCCAGAGTATTGTGAAGATAAACATAAAACGCTAAATCGTAGGAACTGAAAGATTAAGAGGTTTCCACTTAAATGATGTAAGCAGAGATGGGACAGTCACAATCACTTTATTTAGCTATCAGGTACTAGTTTATCAAGACTGACATTCGCCATCATGGCTCGGGACAAAAAAAAAATAGTTAACATCTGGAGACTTGGATGCATCAGACTTACCCCTAGCACTTACCAACAAGTAAATCATTCTTTCAAAACATACCTATCATACTTTGTTGGTAACCCACAGTTATGCACATAACGCTAATCCAATTTACCAGCTCAGGAACACCGTCTAGTTTATCCAACACCCTTCAAACACCTGTGCTCCATTACTACACAGCTGTTCCCCAGGTGGCATAGCTATGCCACTGACCTCAAGCATTAGACAATTAGTGGTTACTTCTCCCTTTCTGTATCAACCACATGTAAGGCTTCAGATTTAGCATTTCCACGAATAAATCTGATTTCCTATGACTTCCATCTGCCTGCTTAGGAAGCCTGTCAATGAAAATTTAGTTCCTGTTCCCAGCATTGGACCATTTAGGATGTGCTAGACTGCAAAGGAAATACATCCGTGAAAACTAACATGCAGAAAACTGCTGCGCATTATCCCACCTAGGTGGACGGGGCTGGTTTAACTAAGCTCTTTCCCCAAAACAAAAACTGCTGAATTTGCTTTTCAAAGTCCTGATTCAATAAGGAGGGTCTTATTTTGTCCCAGAGTACCAAGTAGATTCCTTCCCATTCTTAATACGATTAACAGATGAGGTAGACATCAGGTTGCATTGTGATTCACAGTCGCTTTACTACAGCTTTATCGGCAAGCCATCCGTTTACTACAGCCTGCAACTTTCAAACAAAATCTCTGCTCCTGGCACTTCCATATTCAGAATTCTTCTACCACCACCACCACCCCAATCCCCCTGCTCAAATAATATACTTGAAACTAAATGTACTATCGCACGAGAGACGTTTGCCTTTGCATCTTCCACAGAGGTCCTGACGGTGAGGTTTCTTGGGATCAACGTGGCGTAGTTTCACAGGGCAGGTGCACCGTTTCTGCTTGCAGCTCTGCAACAGACAGGCAATCACTAACATTAACTGCATTATCCAACAGATTTGAGCCCAGTAGCTCGTGAGAGGCCAACAAGAGTTTCAGGGAATAAGCTTTCAAGAGTCAAAGCTCCCTTAATCAAGTAGGAATGGGGATGGGAGTCCTTTCATCCCAGTCAGAAGGTGGGAGGGGTGTTGCAAAGGATGCAAAGGTATAATGCACGTGGCAAGCAGCTTCATTAGAGCAGATGGGAAATGCTTGGGTGCCAAATAGGATTTGAAACCATGATAAACTAATAAGAATTGCTTACAAGTACACTTTATAATTTGTATATATATTTTAATAAACAGTGCAATATAAATGACATGTGGAAAATATAAATGAATTTCATAGAAAAATACTATCGTTTTTATGTATAGGTTTAGGAAAGCTCACCAGAACTTGTAAGCTATTCTTATTAGTTACTTTATCACGGTTTCAATCCTATTTGGCACAGATGTTTCCATGATTCTCTAGGTTTTGGGAAATGCTTGGGGACAAAAAATTAGCATCTGTAGTGAGGTAAGAATCCGGTGCCCCTATCCTACCCTGTGTACTGTCCAAGTAGCAACTTCTATCTTGTGGACTTTTTATGTGCTTGTAGATGCATTAGAATATGCCACAAAAACCTTCCAGACCAGATCAAAGCCCTTCGTTTAAATTTAGACAACTAAAGTCTAGATATAATGTACACAAAGAGGATGTTCTGTACTAGGGCCCGCAATTTTGCCTAGACCTAGTTCACAAGGACTCCGTTTTCTATTTGTTCACACATGGCAGACCCAAGTACTTCTCTTATATGGGCAGGTAGAGCATCAGTATATAAACCTCCAAGGAGTTGCCCCCAGTGGACACACGGAATTGTACAGAACATGCAAACTATGGCTTTCCCTTTGTATTCATTCTAAACTTCACCCCTGTTTGACAGAAATGTGTCTCAAGATAGGAGGCTGAACAGATTCAAGCCATTCCACATTTAAAGTAGCTCACCGCCCCCCGCAAAAATGTTTTGAATCCCTTTCTAAATTGTGCCTATTTTAAGTTAAAGCTTCAACTGGTAGACTGCTTAAAGTTGTATTCTGTAATAGAACTCCTCTCCCATACTGATGTAGAACCAAAAATGCAGAACAAGATTCCTAGTTTAAACACACTGGACTTGATCCAGGGGTGACCGGGCTCCATGAAGCTTCCTTGATAATCCTGAGCCACTCAAAGCCAAACTTAACAGGATTCTTTGCAGGTAGCATATGGGATGAACCACATTTATACTACCTTGAGCTTCTTGGAGGCACTACAGAAGAGAGTAATAGCAAAACCAACATTGAAATGGCAGGGGGGAAATTTGCCATTTTTCCTATTTGCCATCTTGGAGCAATCAGAGTTAATATATTTATGTTAACCAACACTGGTTAAAACATAAACACAACAGTTAATAAGTGGCCTGGTGTGCAGCTCAGCAACAACCAACCAAGTAGAATACCGCTTATAAGCTTTTATATATGAAGCATTTGTATTATGTATGTATGTATGGGGCAAAAGGTATTCAAGTACAAGCAGTAAAATCAAGGGCTCGGTTTGAGTCAAGCAACACATTTGGGAGGTCGTCTGAAGAATTTTGCTTCAGATAGCCTTCTAAAGCATCAGTGCTTACTTGGCAGGTGATATCCTCCACACGATAGGGATTGTACGATTTCTGGCAAGTTCGGCAGAACTGCCGAAAATAAACCTGTGGATAAAGAGTGAACGATAAATGAGGGAAATGCTTCATCTAGATGCCACACAGGATACCTCCCCCAGCCGAGTCCCAAATGTACCTTATTCGTGCCCTGAACGCACCACACGTAGGCACTCTCCCAGCGGATGTTGCAGTCCTTGCAGTGGTAGTAGCCGTATTTCTGCTCTAGGAACTGGAGAGCACAGAAAATTAAAGCTCAGGCAGGGGTTTGGGGGGGGGGGGGGGGAGACACACACCAAGAGACAACAACAGGTGTCAAGAGTTGCCGTGCACTCACTTGGGAAAACCCTGCAGTGACCTAGAGAGCAAAAACCAGCCAGAGCACAAGTCTGGGGGACCCTGGGTCAGAGCCACCCTCCCTGCCCGAAATGCAAGCCTCCAACCAAAGCCCCACTACTGTCTGTTAAAGGCAGAAGTAGCCGAACTCCCCCCCCCTTCCTGCCCCCTCGCATCTCTCCTGCTCTTAAAGGCAGCAATGAGTGCCCCCCCCCCCAGGCTGCTGAGGGTCAGCCTGTCCTATGTTCCCTCGTGAGGAATAGTCTGATCAACATTGCATCACCCTGGCGATGGCCACAAAGCACCTGCTGTCGCCACGTACGGCTAAAAGGGCGAGTCAGTAAGGCAGAGGGTGCCGCTTCACGCTCAGATACTCATGCATCAGGTTACAGACACAGAGCTAAGTGGCCCCAGAAGCCTTCTCTATTTATCATGTTCAGGAGCTACGGGAAATTATAACAGTTCTAGAACATCCAGGCTTTGGAGTTCTTTACTGCATACATAGGCCAGTAAGAGTTTGTGAAAAAAGAATTAATGACTCCATTAGCCCCACTGTGACTGGCAGAGTTTCACCTCTCCTTCTAGACTACCTGTGATTAAGCAGATAATTTGGCATTCTCTCTCAATTAAAGGTGACTGGGTGACTGGATTTCATCCAAACATCTCTACATAAGAGGCTCTGTGCTTGTTTATACCCAGTGCGACTCCCCTTCCCCACAATAATCTATACATGACATCCACTTTTGCTTTCTTTTTAAAAAAACAACAACTATTCAAGTGAAGAGAGCGGTGACTCATGAGAGCTCCTTCGCTGCCACAAATTGTGTTAATCCTTAAGGTGCTACTGGACTCTTGCTCTTTTCTTCTTCCAACTACTGCTGCTTGGATTTCTTTCCTCGCCACAGACACGGAGGACTTTCTCCAAAGCTTAAGCAGCCACACCTCTCTCTTCAGAACTTGCAACTGCTGGAGACTGAAGGGCACCACCTACAGTGGTTGGAGCTGACAGGGCTACGATCCAGGAGACCCAGGTCCAAATCCCCACTCCTCCCCTGAGGCTTGTTGGGTGACCATGGGGGCCAAGTACACTCAGCCCGCCCTACCTCACAGGGTTGTAATGAGGATGAAACGGAAAGATGAAAGGTGCGAGCCACATTCCATCGCGGTTAGGGAAGAAAGGGCTTAAAGGAAGACAGTAAAATGAACACAGTTGTTTGAAAATTTAGAGAGGCGCGCAACTGTGGGCAACCAAAGCCACCTACGAATGACTCTTTACTCTGAAAAGGGAATCTTCCTGGGCGCAAGGAGGACGTGACTTTACAGCTCTGAATAGGCAAGAGAGTCAACTAATTTGCCCAAGACGTCGCCCGCATGCAAGAGGGAGCCCCTCCCGCGGCACTCCCCGGCTCGAGAGAGAGAGAGAGAGAGACCCACCTGGAAGCGCACGCGGGTCTTGCTCTGCCCGGGCTCCTCCTGCTCTTTGGCCGTGGCGCCTTTCCCCGCGGTCTCGGCGTCGCGCTTCTCCTCCTTCCCCTCCTCCCGGGCCTTCTCCTGCGCCCCCTCCGCGCCGTCGGGGCGCGCCTCCTCCCCGCCCTCCGCCTTGGGGGGCTGCCGCTGCTCCTGCGGCTCGGCGGGG